AGTGGAGYTCTCTTCCCTTCTTCTGGTCATTCTACTCATCCTTCAGGTCCCAGCAGTCAGCCTCTACACCACCCCAGCTGAGCAGCATACCTTGCTTCAGAATAATTGCCTTTTCATGTCTATTTCACCAGCACTAGACCTCTATTTGCAAGAAGGTAAGGGAGGAACCAGGTCTGCTATGCACATTAGTATATACATCCACAATAGAGGGTCAGCAAATAGGAGGTGCTCATTAAACCTTGTAGAGTGCCAAAGTGGATCTCACAACAGGCAGATGAAACTTGGCCTTCAACATCTTACTTTCAGCCTTGAGAAGGGCCCCAGTAGTGTGTCTGGGGGGCAAATATTTTTGGAAAACTGGCAAAATTAAGATAATCTAATTGCATTAATTCAGGACCTCTGTCCTTTCTGCTCAGACTTGTCTCCAGCCTCAAGTGTGTGGGGTGGGGAATATCAGAGAGACTATGGCATTTGGGAATCTATCCAAGGGGAAGGTGGGTTAGGAATTATTCCAGGTTGGGTTCCCTGGAAAGCTAGCTCTAAGAGGAAGATTAGAGTCCAAGCTACTTACCAGAGAAATCAATTGGGATCAGTACCTGAGGAAGGAATAGGGTTGGGCAGAGGAAGAAAGCTAGCTGGGAGAGGCTCTCCATGGCTGAGGCAGACTTGTCTTCTGGTTGATTTCCCAATGTCTGGCAACAGCCAGCCTATTTTGAAGGGGACTTAAGTGGCATATCTCTGTCTACCAGAAGGAAACACTTGGTTTGAGTTAGCAGGGACATATTTATGTGAATTGTTCCACTCCTATGTAAAGTTAGCTTATTATTCCTCTTCTGGAATGTAGCCTGGAGGAACTCCTACCGGGGTGAGAACTCCTGACAGGACAGAAGTACAAAGTCTTACTGCATTAAGAATGTGCCCCACAGCACCCAGCACTAGAAAAGTCAGGGAGGGAAAACAAGGTTTGAAATACGTACAGGTGGAAGTCCACCTATGGGAAATTCTTCGAAATCTTACAGTTCCTGTATGAAAAATGGATGTTTCCAAATTTGGCAGCAATACTTACACTATTGGTAATAGCTTAGGAAGTAAAATAACTTTCCTAAGCTATCAATAATTAAAACTCAAACTTCAATCAACTATGTTAGAAGGAAGACTAAATTATCTTTCCCTTTTATATTAAAAAATTTCTCCCCCGGAATTACAAAATCCTTATTGTTTATAGAAGCCATCAATGTACGAAGCCAGAAAATGGAGGGAGAAATTATAGGAATGTGTCATATAATAATATGTATCACAAAAGATATATTTACAGATCACTATTGTAATATTTATCAACCTAAAACCATTTGGCTGGGGAGAGGGTACCAGGGATTAAACTCAGGGGCACTCAACCACTAAGCCACATCCCTGGCCCTATTTTGTATTTTATTTAGAGACAGGATCTGAGTTGCTTAGTGCCTCACTTTGGCTGAGGCTGGTTTTGAATTTGCAATCCTCCTGCCTCAGCYTCCCGAGCCGCTGGAATTACAGGCGTGCGCCACCATGCCCAGTCTAAAACCATTTTTAATGATTTATTATTTTTTTTTCAATGCTGGTGATTGAACCCAGGGCCTCATGCACATGCTCTACTACTGAGCTAAATCCCCAGCCTTTTTCATTTGTTTCTAGTGTTCAATTTTGTTGTTGTTCCTAATGTTCAATTTGCAATAACATACTCTTTTTCTAAAACAGAGACCCCCAAAATGCATGTGTCTCAGGCCCAATTCTACCTGGATCACCTTTGATAGGTGGGAAAAGGGGTAAGTCTCTTTGGGGAGGTCCGACCTTCATTCTTCTTCTAGGGGCCTTGGAGCAAGGGCACTCAGGTATCAGAGCATGTTTGAGGTGGCCACAAAAACTGCCTACTTGGCTCCAGTTTGGTATTATGGGACCCAAGCTGGGGAGGAGGAGAGTGGGGAGCCAAACAGGTGCCAAGGATCTGGAGAGTGGCTGCTATAGGAGACTCAGCAGTGACCCCCTTGGAGTAGGGCCTTGCAAGTCCAGGGAAGAAGGAAACCAAAGCCAGCTGCTTTCAGGTGGCAAGACTAAAAAGTCACGAGGACATCTCCCCTACTGATCTCCTGAGGTGGTGATAAAGGTGGAAGAAGTAAAGGAGTGGGTGCCCCCCAGTAACTGGGGTCTCAGGGTTCTCAGTTCCTATTAGAGACCATTGGAATCTGGTTCTAGCCTCCTCACTACCCTCCTCCTACTCTTCTCAGCTGACCAGGCCTTTTCTCTGTACCCCATGTGCACTGGAAAAGCCTGGACCCTTCCTTGGCACTTTATGCTCTCCACCACTGATCACTACCCATCCTGACAACAAGCATGGAATACCAAACACAGCATATGGCCTTTACTCAGACTGAGATCTCCACTGGGAGTAACCTCCCCCATACCCACTCTTCCACAGGCACTTTGTCAGTTCCTGGACTCCAGAGACCTGCTGGTTCTAAGAGTAAAAAGGGGCCACAGAGAGGCCCAGAGAGAACATTTGCATAGGCTTGAGTCCCAGCCAGGAAACTCAGACTATCGTCACCCTGGCTGGCCAGCAGGCAGAGAGAAATGTGCTGGATCACCCACACTAGGTGGGAGTCCCCTTTATTTGAATTTGCTTTTGGGTAGCTAGACGCTGCAGGTGGCCCTCAATATGGATCAGGAGGGCATCCAGCATGTGAAGGACCCCAAGGAGTAGGGCACGATCTGAAATTGGAGTTCGCCGTTTCCAAGGTCCGTAGCAACTAGTGGTCACCTGTGGGTGCTGAGAATAGGAGTCCAAGTCTTACTCCAAGAGGTAGGAGTGAGTGGAGAGAGGGGAAGGGGCATAGCAAGTGGCAGCAATAGAGAAGGGTGTAGGGTTACGCATTTGTGCCCAAAGGAGATGGGAGAGGTGACTTAGGGTGATGGATCCCTGAGGGTCTCCTATAGGCTAGCATGTTCATGGGACCCATGGGGGCTGGATGAGAAATGGATGTACTAAAGGAGGATGGATGGTTCTAGAAATGCATTTCATGGAGATGTGTGGACGGATGCAGGGAAAATAGGGTGTTGGGTAGGGTGAGGTTGGGCAGGAGGCCCATGAGTCTTTATAAGGCAGGCTTATTAGGGAAGGTTGAGTAGAAGTTATGGGCCCACTGGGCATGAGTGGAGGAAGGAGCTGTCGGGGAGTACTGTGCTCACCTTACCCTTAGTGTCCTGTGAACGCCACCGCTGCAGCATCACACGGCTGATCACCAGCATCATTGTGGTGGTAATCGTGACCCCAGCCACAGGGTAGATGCGGTTCCCTCCCAGGCCCACCCAACCATTTGGACAGCCCAAGCTGCTCCTGCAAGAGTCTAGGCTATTTGGCTGGCACCCCCAGGGCTGCAAGTCCAACCCCACCTGATACCAGAGGGGCCGTGACCAGGCATGGGTGGGAGTAGGTATTGCCAACAGTAGTGACAAGAGAAAGTACAGTGCATGAAACATGGCTGTGGCCACTACCAGAAGCCGGAACCTTTGCGCTTGGCAACCACCAAACACCCCTCCCCCAAGAGTAGGCCCAGCTCTAAGGCAGCAGGTTCCAGCAGGGCCCAAGGCCCTTCATGACCAGCCTGGACCACAAATGGGAGGTGGAGGACTGTGTTCGGGGGGGCGGGGGGAATGGCAGCTCTGAGGCCTGGCAGACCCAGGATAGAGGGAACACCTCTTATCCCCTATCTTCCCTGCTTCCACCTCATCTTGACAAAATCTAAACACCATGGCCCCTACAGCCCTCTGTTCTTCACCAGAGATAGCACTCCCAGGCCAATCAAGCAGTATGTGACTGAGCTGCTCACTGTCCCTGCCCCCACCCAGCCCAGCTCCACCATCCATACTGCCTGAGTTGCAAAAATGTGGCTCCCGCGCTGGGGTTGTAGCTCAGTGGTAGAGTGCTTGTCTAGCATGAGTGAGGAACTGGGTTCAAGCCTCAGCGCCACTTACTACAAAAAAAAATTTTTTTTTTTTCATGTGGCTCCTGTCAGTAAAAAAAGTCTGAAGGTTCACACTGGCCTATAACATCTCCCTCCCATTCATTTGGCTGTACCTGCCTCATGTACACATCCCTGAACAAATCTGCTGTTCCCTATGTCAAAAGCAATTCATCTCTTAGAAAGTCACCTTCTCATGGCTAGAGTTCAACTGTTACCTACTCCCTAAGCCTCCCTCCCATGACCATCTTGGGTAACACAGCCCCTTCTAATGTGACCCTGCACTGTTTTCTTCAAAGCACTTCTAAGTACCTTCAATTTCATATTTGAGGTCCAGACTCCTACTCCAGCATTTAAGTCTCATTCAACCAATATTTACAGAGTGCCAGTTCCTGGTACCAGAATGCAGTATGATGGAGCCGACAAAGAGCTTTGATTTCCTGGACTGTGGTGAGGTTCTGGAGGGAGGACAGACAGTTTGTAAATACAGTGCCAGGCACTGACATAGGCCATGATAAAAATAGGCCTGGGCAAGGGTGCCTGGGTGATTTGGAGGGCAGGGCAGTCTCTGTGGTCAGTAACTTGATGAATGGCAAAGTTCATGCTTTGAGCAGGTGATTCAAGTCCTGAACTCGTCTAAGCATTTCCCCACATTTGCTCATTTAATACTTACTGGGTAGTCTATGAGGTGAGTACTATCGCCACTCCACTCATCAGTAGCACACCCAAGCCCAGAAAGATTCTGGTGCCCCCATAGACACTCTTGACAATTTACTATGTCAAAACCCCCTTGCCTGCTGGGCCATATGCCCTGATGTTGGCTTTTTTTTTTTTTTAAGTTGTAGACCGACACAATACCTTTATTTATTTTTTTTGTGGTGCTGAGGATTGAACCCAGTGCCTCACATGTTCTAGGCAAGTGCTCTTACCACTGAGCCATAATCCCAGCCCCTGATGTTGGCATTTACTGGGAGAAATCAATAAATGCTTCTTGGCTGACAGTGCTCTGCCAAGTCAAATGATCTAATTATATAAACAAGCAATCAATCACACTTATTTAAAAATACAGATCAGCAGCGTTGGTAGGCAACTGATCTTCCTTGACTGGGTGTTCAGGGGTTCACTCTGTACCACCCAAGGGCTGCCCAGTGGCACCTGCCCTGCTGTGCACCTTATTGGGTATCCCTGAGAGCTGATTATTCCTGAGAAACAGTTTTAACTCCAATTATTTTCCAGCCTGAAGCTAAATTCTACCTGTGTGTAATTGGGGAGAAACTTGAGCCTGGGATGTCCTCACATTGGGCCTGGCCCCATAGCTCTCCTACTCTGTACACTTTCTGCCTGACCTTCCCCTCCTCTAATCCCCATCCCTGGCTTCTGACCTCAGTCTCTATCTTGGGGCATAAAAAGGTCAGAAGCCAGAATTATCAACCATCCAACTCCCCAGTCAAGCTTCCCCCATGTCATGGCAAAGCCTAGAGCTGGTTAAACAAATTTTTATTCCTTAGACTGAAAATAGACATTGGCTCCCTCCCCAAGCCTGGCCAAGGCCAGCCAGACCACAGTACCCCTCTTCCAGGCCTATAACCTGAATCTGGATTCCTAAAATCTCCATCCCTGAGTTGTATGTATGTATGTATGCACCAAGGGGCTCCTGAGTGGCACATGCTCAGTGTGGGGGTCTTCTTGAGGGTGCTCCATCACAACCTCCAGAGGTAAGCAATCTTGGGCAGGGTAATAACACAGTCAGAGTTTGGTGGCCTGGATAGACAGAGGAGGGGAGGTTCTAGTCAGTCTCCAAAAAACACAAAATAAACCACTTCTCCAGGACAGCAACCCCTGCTCCCAGGAGCAACTTAATCCAAAGACAACTGGAGAAGGAAATGGGTCCACTGAGGGCAGAGCTAGGTCAATAGATGGACTTCCTGGAGTTAGGGTCAGGTTGGGGACAAGCAACAGATTAATAAAAAACAGCCTAGTGGGCCAGAAACAAGCTTACCAAAACAGGGCTGATGGGGCCAGACTTTGAGTGTTGGAGGGCAAAGGTCACAGCATCATGAACAGAGACAAAGAGATGCTGTTTTGTTATAGATGCATCAAAGAACTGCCCAGCCTCCAACTGGGTGACCACAGGACCTGTAAGCAAGGAATAGGTCTCCTCTGACTCTCAGGACCACTCGACATTCCAGCCCCAGACACCTTTATAGTGTTCTGATGTCTGCCACACTATCTTCCACCCCTGAGGCTAGAGCTAGACACCCAGTCACTCCCAACACTTGACTCCTTCCTCCCAGGGCACCTTTGATCTCCAGTTTCAGAAACTTTTTCCTTGTGATTCCTGGCAAACCTCTCAGCAAAGAGTCCCACCCTCTTCCTGGACCATCCTGTTATCCCCAAGCAACGCACTGTGGCAGGCTGCAATGTACACATCCACCTCAATCTCCCGGAAGTCACGGAAAATCTGCAGCAACAAAAGGGGCTGGACTCAAGGGAGGCTCAGGGATTCAGAGGGGACACTTGGGCAAGCTTAGGGGAACAATTTTTTGATGTTGAGCTTGCAGGGTTTGGGGGCATCATCATGCTCAGAGGGGTCTCAGCAAAAGTTATGGGGTTTGTGTGGAAGCCTGGGGGCCATGGCCTGCTTACAGCCCCTTACATTCTTTAGGTTCTTGATGCACACAGTGTCTACAAAGGAGAGGGCACCCAGGTCCAGGATGAGGCTATGAAAGTCCGGCTGAGGCAGGCCCAGGGCTTTCAGTGTAGGCACAGCTATAGCCTTGGCATCTTCTTGACCACTAGCCACAATCTCTTCCAGCTCATTCTCTGGCCTTGCCTGCAGGGGAACCAGACATGTGGTAGGACAGCCCATCAGGAAGTGAAAGCAGGGAACATACAAAGCACCTTAGGGACACATGGGATTAGACACAGGAGTGTGCATATAAATACCCACATATAGAGGGACATACAGGGAACACATGATGACACAGACATGGGGGAGTCATGTGTGTACATAGGACAGGCAGAATAGATACATAGGGACATACAGGAGAGCATGCCCAGATATTCACACACAGCTGTTACCTCCTGGGCCCAGGCTTAAAAGGGACACAAGAAGGGAGGACGCTGGGAAACTATATTCCACCATCAGCCAGCCCAGGTGGAGTGGGTAGGGGTACAAGGACCAGAAGAGACACATGCATTCATGTGCACACACTCACACACAGACACCTTGGCAGCCTGTTCTGTTTGAATCTCTAATTGAGTGTGGCATCTCTATGTTCCCAAGATTTTTCCCATATATTCAAGCCCTTCCCTCCCTTCATGAGCAGACTCTGGGATCTATAAATCCAAGGTCTTCATCTAGGCCTGAGATTATAGATAAGAGAACAAGCAGAATTCTGTTTCACCATAGGTCTCTCCAGAGTATCAGAGCCATCACCCTATTTCCCCAGACATTGGTGCCTCCTCAAACCCAATTTGGTTAGGGTCTATGACTTTTCTCAGGAGATGTGTAGACACCCTCATCTCTACAGCTCATGGCTGACCTCTCCTCTTCCACCTCTAGCCTTACCTTGGTCTTAGAGCTCTCCACATCATTGCTCTTGATGTCTCCAAGATTGGTGTTGACATTGATGGAAACTGAGTTGTCCTGGGAAGAAACAGCCTACACAGGGGAAGAGTGGAGACAGGAAAGAGTTATTCCCGCTGTCATATGACAACATGTCAGGTAGGTAGGTCTGATGTAGATCCTAGGCTCTGGAAGCTGTGGGATCTGGGGCAGCCAAGCCACAGGGCTCTGACCAATTCTGAGAACAGCCATAAAAATGGAAGAGGACTATGATGATTCATACTGTCACCGGTATAGGGACAACAAAAGACCACCAAGAGCCCTGCCAGGGAGTGAAACAGGGAGGCTGGGAGACAGGCTGAGGGGGGAACACTGGGGCAGGGGCAGAGTTCAATAGTGAGACAAGTTGGCTGGGGTCAACAGTAGACCACGGGCAGAGGCCAGCCCAGGGCAGGGCCAGGAGTCAACCACTGGAAGGGGCCCTGCCTGTTCCTGGGGTGACTTGTGTTTCTGTAGGCGCTTCAGCTTCATCTCCTGCTTCTTGAGCAGTTTCTTCTTCCGAGAGATGAGGTGATCAACATCCACACCACACTAGAAGTGAATGTGAAAGAGGAGGATGAGGCACTCTGGGAAGGCAAGGGGCCCTCAATCAGTCCCCAAGAGACCTCAGTCTCACCCTCTGCTTCAGTGTGTCACTGTAGAGCTCAGCGTTGGCAAAGTATATGGTGGCTGAGGAGCGGAAGATCTTCACACCTGGGACCTCCCTGGCCTGGGGATGGGACAGAGTTGTAGGGGAGCCAAGTCCTCTCCCTCCATTGCATCCTGTTCTGTCTTTCCTCCCCAAGAGCACCCAGTGCCTGCCACCTCCCACCCTCTGTTCCCAGCCTTTGGCTTACTCAGAGGTGGACTCCCCATCCTACTACTTCACTCCTGCCTCAGGTCCTCTCCCCATCACCTCTCCTGCTCTTTGCCACTACCCAGATTAGATTTTGGTGGTGGCTAGGCCTCCTCTTAAGATCTCCAACCCCTGTTTTTTTTTTTTTTTCCTGCATGTAGACATAAAGATTCTTCTAAGCTGTCACCCCAATCTCAGTTCCCATCCCATCCACAACACAGCAAGATCTTTACTAGGCATCTAGGCCTGTGCGTCATGGTGCTTCCTCTCTATCCAGCTGAGCTACTCCCCTCATGTCCTCTCCCACACCTTAGATCCCTTGGTCCCATCCTTTACTCTGTCTAATCACACTGTGCTCATGCTTTCAGTCTCTATGTCAGTGGGAAGGGACCTTTTTTTTTTTTTTTAACATTTACTATTTGTAGTTGGACACAATAAATTTATTTATTTATTTTTATGTGGTGCCGAGGATCGAACCCAGGGCCTTGCACGTGAGAGGCGAGCACTCTACTGCTAAGCCATAACCCAAGAAGGGGCTTATTTTATTCCAGATCCCTATCCCCTGTGCCTGCCCCACAGCCTTTTTTCCATCATTTGGCTTAAGACTTCCCAGGAGGTAAATGATTAGAGACTTAGTAGCCCCACTGATGAGATCTGAAAACAGCCTATGCCCTAGGACCCTGATCCTCTATATTCCTGACCCAGGATGGCTCTAAGACTGACCCCTCACTAGACCTCCAGACCTACCTCTCCTTCTGTCCCTTCTTAGCCCCTCCCCCCGAGTGGGGGTTATAGACCCAGACTCCTCACTAAAAATTCCAGAGACCAAACCCAAAGTACTCTCAGCCCACTGTGTCCTTGCCAGTGTAAAAGGGATTGACATGGGTTTGCTCTGTCTCTGTTCCACCCAACTCATGCTGCCCTCCTACTCAGCCCCTGCCACTCACATCTGAGTACTCTGCCACGTCTCTGTAAATATCCGTGTCTGACACCTGCCCCAGGACAGAGTAGTGAGGTCTGTGGAGGTGAAAGTGAGTATAAGAAGAGGAGGAGAAGGGAGATATGAGGGCACACTGAGGAGCCTGTGGTTTCCCCCTTCCCCAGAGACATGGGGAAACCTGGGGGGGGGGGAGCCAGTATTCCCTTTCCAGCTGGAATGAGGGAAGGACCAATAAGATTGACTCACAGCTGTGTTCGGACCACTACAAGAAGCAGGGAGAAGGCTAATGCAACTGCCAGGCCAAGGTCCAGGTTTAGCAGGATGGTGGCCACAAAGGTCACCAGCCAGATGAGCTGAGAACAGAGGGGCAGGAGTTAAAGAGTATAGAGGGGCCACTGCGGCTAAAGGCCCCAATCCCAGCTCTGGGCCCCCAGGTCTCTCACCAGGTCTACACGATTTTTCTTCCACAGGGAGCATATGTCAGCAAACTGCATCAACATGCCCTTTAGGTTCACAATAATGGTGGCTGCCAAAACTGCCTGGGGTGGAAGGAGTATCACCAGGGCTGCTTATAGGTGCCTAGATATTGACTTCAACCATGTAGGCATGATCCAGACTGACCCCAAGAACCTGGTCAGAACCCCAACCAACAGCAATGACCACCCACCCCAACTCTAACAATTTAGATTTGACTGAAAAATTCTAAACCCTGACCCTTGAGGCCAAATCTCACCCTATAGATCTCAGCCTTAAAAATCCAGGGCATGATCTTATATTCTTGCCCCTTACTTAGGTATAGACTAAACTGAGACCCTGGCCTTACCAAAGCCCTGAAAACTGGTTGGGTAGGGCAGTGGCTCACCCTAGGTAGGTCTTGGAAGAGTTCTCCAAGTTTGAGGATGATGAGGAGGATAAAAAGGGAAGAGACAGCTCCGGCAACCTATGGGATAGGGGCGATGAGCAGGTGGGGGCAAGCAGGGGTAAACCACCCTGGAAAAGCAATGTGCACCCTCACTCCCACATCCAAAACCCACCTGTGTGTTGCCCCCAGTGCTTTCTTGTACCAGACTCCGGGACATAGAGCAACTCACAGGAAAGCATTGGAAGATACCCCCAATGAGGTTACTGAGGCCAAGGGCCACCAGCTCCTGTTGGGGGAACATGGGTGTGAGGAGACTTGCCGGAGGTGCCTGGTCACTGCTCCACTATTTAGCTGATGCATCTCCAACCCCCATCCCCAGTTAAGGGCCTTCAAAGACTTGGCTGCTGTCCCACACATCTTTTTCCCCACTCTCAGTCCCACACAAGTCCCATCTGATCCTCCCTACCCGCAGCTGCTGGGGACTCTGTACATACACCTGGAGGTCCCCTATGTGTCCCTCATTACTCAGACCTGGTTGCTGTCCACACGGTAGCCATGTCTCAAGGCAAAGATCTTTCCCAGTGAGATGGCAATGGCAAACCCAACCACAGCGATGGCGAAGGCATTTCCCACAAGCTTTACAAACAGCTGGGGGTTGGGAGCTTCTGGGGATACCAGTCTGAAAGAGGCATCTGTGAAGTCAAAGAAAGGTTCTTTCCCTGGCTACCCAGTCTCTCCTGCCCTGATAGGGGGCCAGAACTTACCCTGCAGGGATGTTGCCCACAACATCCACCCCAAATCTCTGCTTCAGGCCTACACCATAGGAAATGCCTGTAGCCCCAATGAGCTGTGGGGAGAGAACAGAATCAGGGGAAAAAGGTACAGGTATTATTTTCTGGGAGAAGGATAAACCCCTTTGGGAGAGAGGAGACACTGAAGCAAAATTTTCTGAGGGAAGGGTGAGATTCTGTCAGGGGTAGGGAGAAGCCAATGGCAGATTTTTGCTGCAGTACTCAAGAAGCTTCACAGGGGCCACTTCAACCAGCTCCCAAATATCTGGAGGTTCCCCATACCTGGGATCTATCCTCACTGGCCTTTTTCCCCTGCCCTTCAACACCCAAACCACAAGCAATTCCCCAGTAAACCCGAACCGTGAGCAATTCCCCAGGTATCGGCAGGGGCAGATACCGCTGCAGCTTGTCATTCAACAGCTTCACCATCACAAGCACCACCCCGGCCACAAGTGCAGTGATCACGGTGCCGATGACACTCTGGGGCAGCTTCCAGCAGACCTCCAGCACTATCTGAGGAGAGGTGGGGTCACAGCCAGCACTCAAGTTCATGGGGCACATCTATTCACCCATCCCACCCTTACTCACATAGATGAGGGATAGTGGCCCTGAGTGGCTACTCAGCTGGAGGCCAAACACATACTTGAGCTGTGAGACAAAGACCTGCACAGATGCAGCTGTGGTATAGCTGCGGACCAGAGGCTCTGACAGGTAGGTGACCACAAAGCCAAAGTGCACCAGGCCCAGCCCCACCTGTGGGATAACAGGGAAGAGTCAGGGGAGGCAGGAGTCCTAGCGGTGGTCCAGGGCAGATGGAATCAGAATCAGAGGAGATAGTGAACAGAGGGGACAAAAATAGGATGGCAATAATCAGAGAATCTGGGTGCTGGGGAAACATACTTCTGAATGTTTCACACCTGGAAGAGTCCAACCAGAACACTGAGTGTGGAGGCCAGCTGCACACGGGTGACATCTCTGGCTGTCTCATTGACTGTGGAGTTTGAGTCCAGCAGGAAGTTCTCATCTGGGGCTAGGGATTCTGTCACACTGCCCACCATCACAGACATGATAGCAAAGGTCCCTAAAGGGGCAGAGCAGGGCTGGTCTGAAGGGAAAAGAAAACTGTCCTCCCCTGGAGCCTTGRTCTTGACAGTGAGGCCAAGATAGATCTAGTTCTGGACAAATATCCTTAGACCATGGCTATACAAATGGCAGCAGGTCAGGAGGGAACCCCGAGGCTCATGGGTTCTTAAGGGTACTAGAAATGCTACCCTACATTATATACCTTGTACCATTTATGTCCATTGGCCTAGAGACAGAGACATTCCATGAATTGGGGAAGAGGAAATAACCTGCCTTGGCCTCTTGAATTCCCTCATTCACTTATATCCTCCTGGAGTCAGGGCTTTGAAGTACCCTGAATCTGTGCTCCCACAGCCAGTGACCTAGTCCTGCCTGGGGATGACAAATGGGCCAGCCTCCTAGCAACACAGCAACCMTTCTACTCTTTCCCTAAATTTCCCTGCCCTGTTCAGCCCTCCCTCACCCTGTTCTCCATGGGGGATATGGGCATCCTCCCAAAAGTTTAGGCCTGACTCTACTTACCCACGGAGATATGCCGGGAAGTACCAAACAGGAAGTAGATGAAGACTGGGTAGAAGGAGCTATAGAGGCCAAACACAGGAGGCAATCCAGCCAGGAGGGCATAGGCTAAGCCTGGGGGGAAAATGGTAGCAAAGCAGGCTTGGAGATGAGGATCCAAAAGGTTGGAAGAATCCCAGCATGGTTAGAGGCCATGTGTCCAGGTATGGTATATCACAGATCACAGGGACTCTAGGTCAGGGCCTTGAATGTGGCTCACCCTGGGGAAGCTGCATGATGGCAACACTCAGGCCAGATAACAGGTCACCCAGGAGCCAGTCACGCACAGGATAACGGGGTAACCAGCCCAAGACCGGGAGATGTTGAATCAGAAGGGCACGGGCCCGTGCATGGGAGCACCTGGGGACACGAAGGGTATATATGAGGGACAGGGGCTATCTGGGCCCCGCCAGAGTCCCCAGGCCTTTCTCCCTGGCCTTACTTCAACCATGTTCTCCACTGATAGGTCCTAGGTGTCAAGTCCCAGCGCCCCAGTTCTTCCAGTTGCTCCTGGTTCATCAGTGGCCGGTCCACATGGTAATCTTGCTTCTGCAACTCCATTATCTATGTTGCAGACAGGAATGCCTGTGTATCCCTTATCTGGCGGGATGAGATCAGAGATACAGTAAGGATACCCCTTACCCAATCTTCCCTACACATACCTGGGAATAGACAGTCACATACTGATTTTTCCAGGCCCTAAGATCAAGGTAGATCCAGCCCCAAGTTGGTCCCTGCAGGCCTCATGCCCACACCCAAGCAGGGGCAGTACCTGAACTTTGGCTAGTAGAAACCTCTTTCTGGGCCAAAGTCCCTCATGAAGGGATAACAAGAAGAACACGACCCACACTTCCAGCCTAGGTGTGGCTGCCCAGCCCTGAGTACTGGTCCAGGTCCAGGTCCAGGTCCAGGCTGACTGCTCCTCCTAGCCCCCTCCTCCCAGGCCCTTGCTCTCCCTGAGTCAATCCCTGTGTCCTTATCCAGCTGCCTCATGAACCCAGATCTGGCTGGCCGAGAACACATTTAGGGAAGGGATCCAGCAAATCAGAGATCCAAGTCTTCAAGCAATTCTCTCCCCAAGCCTCAGTCCTCCTGATGAAACTCTTTCCTCTAAGGGAAGGACTGTTTTGCCCCTAGGCCTCTAGCCCCAGAGTCCAATTTGTAGACAAGCTGGGGACTGGGTTGGGGAAGCCAAAGGATGGTTCTCACCTGGGGGGATCTCTGAGGAGAAGGGGGTCTTTCTTGAATTTGGAAGTTCTCACCTAGGGGGAGACACTCCCATCTGGAAAGGGAAGCTCTCCCCTGAAGTAGGGAAAGTCACCTGGGAATAGAGCTTTCAGGGGGGAAAGCCTTCACCCCCAGGCAAATTCTGATCTGAGGTAAAGTTCTGACCTGGGAGGAATCTTTTATCTGCCTACATGCTCCTCTCTGAAGTGAAAGACCTTAAAGAATAGGAGATGGAGGTGGGTGGGTGGGAGAGGTAAGTCTTATCTGGGAAATACTCTCACCTAAGGGGTAGGCTCCCCATAGCATGGGAAAAAGCTCTCTCTTGGAAATAACTTCTCAACAGGGAAAGGGTGGTAATGGGGTTCTGGAGCGGGAGGGTCCAGCATAGTAGGAAAGCTTTCACTCATCAGGAGAGTTCTAACCTAGGAGAGGATCCCACCTGAGGGACAGGAACTCACCTGGGGAAAGCCTCTAACCTGGATGTCCCGGTTGGAGGGAGGGAGTACAGCAGGTGCAAGGAAGATCCTCAGAAGGCTCCGCTGTTTCACCGAGATCTTAGAGACCCCTCTCCCCTCCTCCGTAACTCACTCCAGTCTTCTTAAAGGGCTCCCTCCCTCGCAACGCGGGACGCGAGCCTGGAGGGCGGAGCCTTGCTCCTTGGCCCCTCCCTCTGGGAGAGTACGGTGCGGTAGAGCTAGAGCTCTCATTCCCAGGTCAGTTATACACCTGGGCGGACTCGGGCCCCAGCTGATCCACGGGCCCCAGCTGATCCACAGGCCCCAGCCAGAGACTCTCTTGCAGCGATCTTCCAACCTCAACGCGCCCCAGCTAGCACACCTCTTGGGCCGGGGCTCCTCCGCACGCAGCCACCTCCTTGAGCCCCCCCCCCCCCCCGTTAGCCCTTGGACAGCATTCCAGTGGCTTTACGCACAGCCCTCAGGGGCTAGGGTCGCACCGGCTCCCACCCCCATCCCTCGCTGCAGAGGGGCAGCCACCTGCGGGAAATCGTCAAAGCGGTAAACCAGTTGGGAGAAGGAAAAGCCTACTCGGGACTTAGCGGTCCCTCTTAAGAAGCCCAGGCCGGGAGCCCGCGCGGGGGCCACGAGGCTGCCCGCGCCTCTCGGACAAGCAGAATCCGGGCCATGCCCTGCACTCACCCCAAAGCATCAGACAGCCCCAAGGCCCTCAGGCTTCTAAGCCAACAGCTCCAGCAAAAGGCCGCTTTGGGACGAAGGTGGCGCCAAGACAGGGGCGAGGTGGGCCTCTAGCTCCCAGGGCCTAATCCAGGGGCAAGTTGGGGAAGGTTTGAACCAATCAGCGTTCTAGGGGCAGGGACCAAAGCACGCTTTCTGAGCGGGGAGAGTCGGGAGAAGAGAAGTTTAACCCCTTCTTCACCCCGGGCCTGGCTTTTTTCTTGCTCCCCCTTGCGGCTCGCTTAACGGTCTGCCAGAGCCTGATGGGACTGTGGAACATGAACCAAGAACCAGAGCGGGACTGGCAAGGAAGTAAGTACAGGCCAGAACCGCGCCTCCAGGGTCCTGAGTGGATGGAGCTGATCCTGGTGCTTCGCTGGGTAGTGTGACCTGATGTGCATGAGGTCTTGTGGGGCCTCTCATATTTCCAAGCTGAGGGCGCCACCCTCAGGCTTTCCCTTGGAGAGCAGGAGGCATGTTTCTGAGACCCACGAAATGTCCCCAAGGCCTCCTCTTCAACTCTAGCTAGTGAGGAGGGCTCTGGACAGGTGCAGGGAGCCCAACTCCATGGTGCCTGGAGTTTCCTCCCTGAGCCATGGAGGAACTCAACATTCTGGCCAGTTGCAAGTCATGGAGGGTGAGAGGAATCTGGGATTGTGGCTCAGTGGTAGAGTGCATGTCTGGCATGTGTGAGGCCCTAGGTTTGATCCTCAGCACTGCATATAAGTAAATAAAATAAAGGTCCATCAATAACTAAAAAAAATATTTTAAAAAAGAAAGGCTTGTGGGGATTAGTGCTGTCAATGGGCAGCTGCAAGGGCAGCTCCTAGAAGCTGACAACTTCTCATGTAACAGTGGTTCACTTTATGCTTTGGATATAGCCCTTGCTGCTCTGCCATTGCAGAATTCTTTAAAATGGACATTTTTTTCTCTCCCTCTTTCCCTTCTCTTGCCTAATCTTTCCCTGTCCCTAATCTCAGAGGAAACAGGATTACCTTTCTTCCCCATCCTAGGCAGATTTATCTGTTCTTGAGTAATCACCCACCATAGAAACAAAGTAATCTGGACTTTGGGGATGGTATCAGAAGATCTCAGAAATGACTAGCTCCTAAATTAACAAGTAAATTACAACTTCAGTAGAGAATGTAGCCTTTGAATCACCTCTATAAAAGACCCCTGTTCCTGTTGGTAGGTAGAATCACAGACTCTGGGAAGGGAGTCCCCTGTGTTTCTCCTTTGCTAGCAAAGCAATAAACCTTCTTTTGGCTTTTTCTCAAAACCGTGTCCTCATTGTTGGACTGGATTGGGGACAAGGACTGCAACACCCAGAGCAAAACAGTAACCAGCTATAGGCATGGTGGCATACGCTTGTAATCCCAGTGGCTTGGGAGGTTGACGCAGGAAAATAATGAGTTCAAAGCTAGTCTCAACAATGGCAAGGTACTAAGCAACTCAGTGAGATCCTGTCTCTAAATAAAATACAAAATAGGGCTGGGGAGGTGGCTCAGTGGTTGAGTGCCCCTGAGTTCAATCCCCCGTACCAAAAAAAGGTGGGGGGAGCCAGTCTTAGCAATTTAGCAGGGCACTTAGCAATTCAGGGAGACCCTGTCTCTAGTAAAATATGTTTTTAAAGGGCTGGGGATGTGGCTCAGTGGTTAAGCACCATTGGGTTCAATTCCCAATACCAAAAAAAAAAAAAAAAAAAAAGTACTTAGCCAGGGCTGCAGGCCCTGAACACTAAGTAGGTCCTCATGCTTGACCAGGGAAGAGATTTCCTTGGCACCCCACTCCCAGCACTTGTGGTCCATCTCTAGCCCCAATCACAGGTAAAAGGCCAGATTTCAAAGAGAAAGAGATGGGAACCTGGTCCAAATCTCCTGTAAAGTGAGCAAAAAACCCCAAAATACCCCTAGATATTCAAACTCAGTCTGAACTGAATCATTCACAGCCACCATTCTACCACCACCACCTCCAACAGAAAGAGGCAACAACTGTTTTATATAGAAGTTTATTCCCAAAACAGAGCTCGGCTTCACGGAACAATTTACACAGACAGGAAAGAGGGCCGCTGGGCTGGAGTGGGGAGACCCCAGAGAGGGGTATCTACAGAACCTAGGACATAGCAAGGATACCCTCTCACCCACAGCATGCCACTCAGCCCTTTGAGGGCTGGGGTCATTTTGGGTAAGAGCTGGGGTCCTGGCTGGTGGGATTTGAAACCAGTCAGTGAAGTAGAATTTTTAATCTCCTTGGAAACTGCCTCCAAGAGCATGCATGGGAGTTGGGTATGGGGAGGTGTCTGCACAGACCCAACCCTATACAACCACTGTTAATAGTGGTAAAAGGATGCCTACTCTCAGACCTTCTGGGTCTGCTGTCAAACTGGGGGCTCAGGATGGACCTTTGGCCTGGGAGAGCTAGGAATTAGAAAACCCCACAAGATGACCAGGCCCAGGATCTTCACAGGTGGGTCCTCTTAAGCCCCTCTCCCACTTTTCCTACCTTTCACTTGTAAACAAAGGGGGAAAAAATTCTCAACTGTAAACAAAGTGTTAAAGTTCAAAATTTTAAGTTGTAAACGAAAAAAGTTTTTAAAAACCTCACCTGTAAACAAAGTAACAAAATTTTAAAGTCTCTAGTTCTGAACATCAGACAAAGTAACAAAAGTAAGAGTTTTGTGAACAGGTCCTAACAGTCATTTTTCCCTTTAAAAGGGAATAAAGGAAGGGTGGAACTGAGTCACTTCAGCAGCCCGGTGCCTAGGGCCAGGGAGGATCCTGTAAACATGGGAGGCAGTGGCACCTACATTCTGGGTCTTGAATTCCCTCATATCTGCTCCCTTTGTTCACTCTCCCACCCACCCCTCAGAGGGCAGTGTGGGGGAATCAAATGGCACCACAGACAACTTTTGCTCAGGCAGGGGCAGGGGCAGGTCAGTAACCCCTCTACCCACCCAATACTGGAATGTCTGAGTAGAAGCCTGGGCCCCTCCCCAAGGGAGAAAGAGAAGCCTTGCTCTGTAAACATGACATCTGCTGCTCCACCAGTGCCCACAGCATCAGTCCTAGGTCATAAGGCAGTAAGTGGCAGGGACTCCATGTAATAAACACACACATCCACGGGGAGGGGTGGCATGAGCAAGCCCCCATGAGAGAATCAGAGGACCCCTGTTTCCAAGACCAACCCCCAACCCCAGAAGTTTGGTCGGTGGGGCATTTTAAGAGAAAATAAGATCAGTTCTGCACTTTGGGCCCTGACAATCCTCAGATCAAACAGGGGGGTGGGGTGGGGTGGGGTCAGGAGGGCATCTGTCCACATGTTGGACAAGTCTACCCCAGTAAGATATGAGAAAAGAACATATGGTTTACTATGGACCCAAATGGGGCCAAACTCTGCATCTCTCTTCCTCTGTTCCCTTCCCTTTACCAGTCCAGTCTCAGACCCCTGGGGGGAGACAGAAAAGCTGAAAAATAACATAAGCATATCTCTCTGGTTACAAAGGTATAAAATGTATAAAAGTCTTCCCTTCAGTCCCCACCTGCCTTGCACTTGTCACACCCATGCTCACTGATGTGCATGGAACCTCCACACTGCCATTGAGGGAGCTGGGGGGAGGCGCACAGGATGCTGCCTTAGGATCAGCCCCCCTACTCCTGGATTTTCTCCTGTTGCCCTCAGTTGTTCCTCAAATGCACATCATCCTTCAGGAGTGACCCTCACTTCTGGGAACCCTGTAGAGTTGAACATGGACATCAAAGTTAACTGCTGAGAGGACCCTAAGTCAGGTGCCTCCTAGCTTCCCTACCATATCTGGCCTGCTCCACCTCCCCCATTACCGTAGCCTCTCAGTGTTCAGCCCTTCATGTTCACTTTGGAGTTCTGAGTCCCCCACCCATTCTGAACACCTTAACTCATCAGCAAGGCTTCCTGACTACCTCGGTCTTTTCTCTTAACACTTAGCAAGCACCTGCCATGTACAGACATTATGTTAAGCACTTGGCATGTAATATCTCACAAATCTTCACATCTCAAAGAGTTYGATACTATGGACCTTTCTACAGATGAGGAAACTGAGGCTCACAGAGGCTTGTACCCTGCACAAGGTCACACAGCTAGTAAGATAAGAGAACTCAAACTCACACCTGTATGATTCTAGAGCCTAAGCCCCTACTCAATTTCCCAGCCCTCCTCTTACTCAGCCAAAGCCCAAGGCCACACTGTAGCGGGGCCCAGGTGGTAAGTCTGCTCCCTTTCATCCTCACCCTTTAGTATCCCTCTAGAACCCTGGGCCCTCCAACCCCCCTGCCTCTCCCTTCTTCCTTTGTCTTCCCCCAAACGCTGGGTCCTGCACAGTTCTGTTGGTCCCCTGTCCCATCCCCAAAGACCCCTTCCCCTCAGATCCATCCCTCAGCCTACAGACTCCCCACTCCTCCAGAGCTTGACCTAGCTATACTCCCTGAAATGCAACTCTCCCATTGGCTTACAAAACCAGCAACTCCTGGTTTCTCCTCACCCCACCATTCCTTCTCAGGCTCTTGTATATCCAGCTACTTCTGGGCATGTCTGCCATCCTCTACCCCACAGATGCCCTGCAGGCTCCTGAGATGTACCAGATCCCAGCTCAAGCCTCTGAGCCTCACCCCATAGTGCCCACAGGCAGGAGGAACTTAAAATTGACTGAATATAGTTTATCCTCAAAGTTAGCTCTTCATCCTGACATATCTGGTATCCCAGGATATGACCCCTTAGACAAACCTTCCCAAGAAAACACTCCTTCACTCCTCCCTGCTCTTTGAAAATATGGGGTTATCTTCTACTTCTAGGCTTTGACTCCTGCCTTGCCCCCTCTACTAGATCCAGTCCTTTGGAGGGCAACTATCTCTTCCTTAGTCTGGGAGGTGCAGGGAAGGAAAGCTGGTCCCAATCATACAACTGGTGAGTCCCTGCTAGTCACATTCCCTTTCAATGCCAGACCTCTGTACGCAGCCTCTGACCTCCTGGCTGTGCTGAGCCTGGGGTAGCCCACACCTGTCTGTCAACCCAGACCCCATTCTGTAGTGGAACCTAGGGGAGGAGGCTAAGCTAATAAGGGTATGAGTAGTTGGCTAGGCCATGCTTACTCTGAGTCTGGCGACAACTCTGAGATGCTGTGGGACGTGGCAGAGCGAGGTGTGGAAGGCCCAAGTACAGAGGCTGTGGCAGA